CTGCAAAACATCTTGTGTGTGTGTGTTGATAGATAATCATATGGGTTTAGAATGAGATTAGGTAAATGCTGACTAAATGTAATTTTTTTTAATGAACTATCCCTTTAAATGGAACAGCAATTTAAATCAAGTCACAATCGGCACTCTTCTTGTTAATAACTGAATTATTAGCAGTGCACACAAACTATAACTTGCCTTCTCACTCAATAATTAACCACAAAGCCTTTATAGTTTGAAAAATATGAATTAAACAATGAAACTTGAATAAAAAATAAGCAGACCTGAAGGTAAAGTGTAAGTGTGAGCAGGGCCAGTGAGGCGGCCATGCACAGGTAACCCCTAAAGAGAAGCACTCTCTTCCCTGTGCTCTCGATGATCAACACCTGGATAAAAATAACACAGGAAACAGCCACACAAACACAAACAGAAGATTCCTTTAAACCAGGTCACATCATGTTTTGAGCTCAGATGAAATATTTGGGTGGTAAAGAGCGGCTCACACAGGCAATAGAGGTGGAGACTTCACACAGGCCCGTCCCGAGGGCGGCATAGCGCAGGTTCTCCTTGGCAATACCGGCAGCTTGAAACACATCAAACGAATAGAGATAGATCTGCGAAGACATGATTCACAGGCCATGTGAACAACAATATCTTTAAGTCTATTCATCTTTGAAACTGAATGATGAAAAACAAAAAGACGAATTGAGCGGGAAGCAAATTATCTTGCAATGTGAAGCCATCAAGCCCATTTCCTGAACAGACTGTGGCATATGGTTGTGTGTTTTGACAAAATAAGCATTCTCGGTTCAGTCGTTTTCAGGTGCGGGTGGCACTGCGACTTTTTGTGACTCACAGCATTGATGCCGCAGAGCTGCAGCGTGACGAACGTGACGAGGACGGTGATGAGCTGCCAGCGGATGTCGTGGTCGACGAAGAGGTCCATGAGCCCGTGGATCTTCACGCCTTTAGGGAGGCGTATTCAGCCAACATCTCCTCCATCTCTGGTCCAGGGTCCTTTCTAGCTCCCCACAACCTGCGCAGAGCTGAGACATATTGAACATAATCAATGAACTTGGCAGCATACATATTTAAAATTTTAGCCATCGGTGAGAATGTTGTTACAAATTCCTTTTTTTATTTTATTGTAACTTTAACTCTATGTAGCTAGAAGTGTTTGCATTCATGTACACTACAGTTCAAAACTCTGGAGTTGTTAAGAATTTTTTTGAAAGAAGTCTCTTATGCTCACCAAGGATTATTGTTTTTGATCAAAACTACAGTAAAAACAGCAATATGGCGAAATATTATTACAATTTGAAAGAATTGTTTTCCATTTCAATATATTTTTAAATGTCATTGTAATTTTAAATGTAAAACTGAATTTTCAGCATCATTCCTCCAGTCTTCAGTGTCACATGATCCTTCAGAAATCATTCTAATATGCTGATTTGCTGTTCAAGAAACATTTATTATTATCATCATGTTGAAAACAGATGCGCTGCTTCATATTTTTGTGGAAACCGTGATCATCATTCCTCCAGTCTTCAGTGTCACATGATCCTTCAGAAATCATTCTAATATGCTGATTTGCTGTTCAAGAAACAATTATTATTATCATGTTGAAAACAGATGCGCTGCTTCATATTTTTGTGGAAACCGTGATACATTTAATTTTATGTCATAATTCTTTGATGAATAGAAAGTTCAAAAGAACAGCACTTATTTAATAAAAGCATTTTTTTACTTTACTGTCACTTTTGAACAATAAACATTAAATTCTTTAACAGTAATGTACTTACAAAAAATGTTTCAGTATTATATTTCAAAAGAGCACTGAAAACCCTGTTTTCCCATGATGTGGCCCCACATTTTGAACAAATGATTTCAGATGAATTTTGCAAGAAATATCAATGTATGTGTAAATGTCAAAGGAGTTGTCTGTGGTTCTGACCCATCTCACAGCCGTGTTTGTCTGCCTTCTCCAGCAGGAGGTACCGCGGGGACTCAGGGAGAAAGGGCAGAGTTACTAGCTGCAGGAGACCAGCCGCCCCGCTGAAGGCCAGCAGCCAGATCCAGCGCTCCTCAGTGCCTAACACCTCACTGACACACACACACACACTCTCAAAACCCAAGCTTTAAAGTTTAAATCTTTCGGTTAACACATGAATGTTACAGGAAGATAAACCTGCTGTTAATGACGCACCTGATCCCGAGCAGCTGGCCAAAAAACTTCCCCATTGAGACAAAAGAGGCCACCGACACACCAACCATCCCACGCAGCCTCTTGGGGGCGCACTCCAATATATACATGGTGTGGACAGTCAAACTCACACCTGCACAGACAGCACTCAAGCAGTTAACATAGAAAAATAGCACAGAATAAAAAAAGACCATGCATTTACAGATTTACCAACACACCAGCGTTGATGCCGTATAGCACACGTGCCACCATGATCATCTCAAACGAGAGGGCGGTTTTACTAAATAACATCAGGACAGCTCCACAGATTGCCACCACATTGTTCAAAAGCAGAGTTGTCTTCCTATCGAGAGTTAAAAACACATACTGTACAAACACACTGCACTTCAATGCTGCTCCTTAAATACCACAAATTTAAAGTTTACCAAAAAAGAAAATGTACTTTTTTGGGCTTCAAAATCTCAGCAGCCATTCACTGCCGTTATAAAGCTTTGAAGAGCTAGGACATTTTTAAATATAACTCTGATTGTATTCGTCTGAAAGAAGAAAGTCATATACACCTAGAATGGATTAAGGGTGAGTAATTCATGGGGCAATTTTCATTTTTGGGTGAACTATCCCTTTAAGAAACATTGCACTCAGCCAGAACTTTTACATTTTTCATTTTTTCTTGTGCCAGTTACAGGAACAGAACAGAACATAACCTGGAAAGAATTAATGTAGGTTAGACTGGTTAGAAGAAATATCAGCGGCTGGTTGTTGCCCTTAGCATCACTTCAGGTCAATTCTGGAATTAAAATCCCATGTTGCTTATTATTGATTCACACTCTAAAAATTGCTCAATACCACAGATGATTCTGAAAACGCAGAAATATGGAAGGATCCATGTTAGCACCTGAAAATCAACCTAGTTACACTACCATTCAAAAGTTTGGGGTCAATAAGGTTTTTTTGTTGTTGTTGTTAAAGAAATTAATACTTTATAAGAATGCATTAAATTGATGAAACATAACAGTAAAGACAATTATAATGTTACAAAAATGTATTTCAAATAATAATTAACATTTTTCAGAAATAACAAATGTTTTCAACACTAATTATAAATGTTTCTTGAGCAGTAATCAGCATATTACTAATTTCTGAAGGTTCATGCGACACTGAAGACTGCTTTGCATCACAGATATATTCATAATATATTCAAATAGAAATCAATTGTAATAATATTTCAGAATATCGTTTTTACTGTATAAAATATATGCAGCCTTGGTGAGATTAAGTGACTTCTCTGAAAGGTATTTAAAAAATTTGTACTGACCCCAAAACTTTGAATGGTGCTGTATATCCAATGGCATTAAAGGGACCGTTCACCCAAAAATGAATTCTCTCATCATTTACTCATCCTCATGTAATTTCAAACATGTATGACTCTCTTTCTTCTATATTTCATTTGTTTTTAACCATATCACCTCAAGTCAATGGAATTCAAAACACCGTGGATATAAAAACAAAACGAAAAAAAGCAGATAATATCTTTCATTTCTGGGTGAACTATCCCTGTAACATTCTTCAGCATCAGCCTATGACCTGACTAGGATGTCTGCTATATGGATGCACTTCCAGTACCTTCCATACGCGCCTGCCAGTTGTCCAGCATACAGGGTTCCAGCCAGCCCTCCCATGCAATATATGGACACAATGAAGGACCAGATGAGGGACAGCTCCCAGGGCTCAAGAGAGCGGCCATAACGCTGCTGGCAGGTGCTGTTCACCAGCTCTTTAATAAACTTGCATGTAAGCACAAGTCTCAGTTGATTATATCATTCATTTCATTTTATTGAACCACAGCGTTTCACAGGTTAGCACCAACTCATAAGCTCTAATATGTATTGATTCTTTGATCCTTTGGGGATGCCATATCTTAAGACGCATGCATTTGATTAATACTGATGACCTCCAACCCCATTTGCAGCTCAAAAGAGACAGTAAATCAGCCTAAGACACTATGAAACTGAACGTGTGATTACTTACAAGTGATGGCGAGTTAAAGACAGAGATATGGAAGCCGTATTGAAAGGTTCCTCCTATTCCTGCTATGAAAATGGCTGCAATAAGCACAGGACTTCTCGCCTGCAAAAAAGGAACATTTTTTGCAAAAACTGGACAATCAAATTACGATGTGATGTAAGAGCTGGCCTACCAGTTCTCTTAAAGCCCTCGTCATTGTATGAGAAAATGCAGCGTCCTCTACATGGAGTCTTTATAACAAGTGAAGATGACAAAGCAAGAACAGAAATGTCTAACTTACTGTAGATGTGAAACTTTTCATGCTCGGTTGAGATTTGGGTGACAAAAGCAGGGTAAAGTTGACGAGTCAGATTCATCTTCACACGTCTCTCGGGTAGTGGTTTCTTTTGTCTCAAAAATTTATGAAACTAAAACGTCAATACAACAATCTCGCCAACTTTTGAAATGACACTGACATCTGAGATGAGGTTACAAAAACTGCTTCAATATTTCTCCACTTTCCACCAATATAAATAATATAGCAATCGATTTATAATTTCATCATCACAGATAAAGTGACCCAACTGTTAATTCACAACGTCAATTTGTAGGCCGACCCAGAATGCTAATTCACCATGGGGCACCCGTGGGAATTTCTAATGGGTTTTTAGTACACTTTTGGATTTATGAGTAAATTAAGCCTGTTGTTGACATCAGTTGAAGAGACATTTGTTCAGCAAAATAATGAGTTTTTGTTCTCCAACATAAATTACACAAAGTTCTGAAACCTCTAATGTCAGTTCTAAAACCAATTTATTAGCAACACTTTTCAAGCACACAAAGGTTTCAACATTTGATGTTTGACTGTGTTTAATTTGTTTGTTTACCCATAAATCCAGTTCTCTGCCAGGTTTTAGGCCTCAAACTGAGTAGATGCAAATCAGGATGATTTGACATAATTCTATTTTTAATAAATTCCACGGCAAATGTGACTCCATTCAAAGCGATGTGATGGAGATGTGGGCGTCTCGGAGTCTTAGAGCAGGATGAAGCGTGTGAGACCGCCGCCTCGGACTTCCCTCAGACGCTGGCAGTGGCGTAGCATGTTCAACATGCCCACAAACCGTTTGTCCACCTTCAGCTGGGCGAACTCTCTGATGTCTTGCTCCACGATGAAAAACTGACCTGCAGGACACAGAAGGAGTTGATGGATGACCTCTTTCAGCCCATTAGAACTTAAATACCAGACCAGGATAAATTACCCTAGTTATCGGAGCACTTATACCAGTTCATGCGCCGGTGGCGTTAATAGTTTTCTGGAGCAAACAGTAAACTCTCAATTCTCCATATGACAAGACTGTTAATACATGATGGACTGCAGTGCTAAACGTGGTCAAATAAGCCTTTGACCAGCAGCTTTGGAAGAGATAGACAGATAAAATGGCGATACCCTTGGTGTCCTTTGTTTCTTGGTCTTTAAAGCGCTGGTGGAGCGTGCGGGACACATTGTTCAGGGTTTTGACTGGCTGATGGAGGATCTTATATTTTGACGTCACAGCTGTGTTGATGCTTTGCACCGCTGCGTTCAGCTGGTCATACGTCACGCGGCCTTTCATATACCTGTGACAGCACAAGTGAAGATCAAGAAATGGACTTCATGTGAATGGCAGTAACAATTTGAAAGATAATAGAACTGCGTTAATCATGGAATTCCTGTTCCAAAACCGAGTGAGCTCTCTTCCTTTCTGCTGTCTACATTAGTAACTACGTTTCAATACTTTTCTAACCAAAATGGAGCATCATAAGTAACCATTTTGAGACATTCTACTAATGCACTGTAGCAACACAAAAGCACTCTGTACCTGACTCACCATTGATTTCAATAGCGCGCAACTGTAGAATTCTGGGAGTAAAAATTCCAATTTCTTCATAGGGGAATAACAAGGTTCATGGTTATTAATTAATGGTTTATGCTTTTGTTGAAGACATAAGCTCACATTATTTCAACATATTTTTTAAAATCACATTAAACAGTGAAAACTACATTACCCACAATTCTGCACAGAAATGTCCACCAATCAGAGAATAGAGTTCCGAAATTTGAGTTCCATAAGTATTTTTTTACATGTACATGATTTTTAACAATAACTTGTTATAGACAGACCTCCTATGAGCTCTGAGGTTGTTAATTTATGGCATATAATTGTGATTATTTTACAATAATTTTTGTAAAATTGTAACAAAATTATTTACAAACAAAAATATAGAATTTTTGTTTGTATATAATTTTGTTAAAATTTTAGCCATCAGGTCTAGATATATAGATCTATTTGAAGCTTCTTGGAGGCCTCTCTTCAATCACCTGTTAAAAATTTCCAATAACCATGACACCACTTGAAAATTTTGTAATTGTAATTTTGTTTAATTTCTGTGTCAATGTTAATACGCCCATGTGTGGGTGGGTGTTTTTTTCTTAAATACCACATTTGAATCTTTCTATGATTTTTTTTCTCTCTTAATTTCTTGTCAAAGCTAGCGACAATGTTGACACTTGCAAATCTATCTGCTCTCTATTTTTAGTGTCACTTTCCCTATCAACCTTGCTTTAAAGATAAAACACCTAGATGATTATTTATTATTATTTTTATTCTATTATATTCTTTTATTTATTCTATTCAAATACTTAAATATTTGTATGTATATATATATATATATATATATATATATATATACACACACACACACACACACACACACATTTTCCTGAAACTTTTTTTTGCTTCAAATAAATTTGTTTCGTTTCACCTTGCAGTTGGTTGGTTTTTGTTTTCATGGTTTAAACTCTTTAACAAAGACTATTTTATATCCCTATGGAAAAAACGAATGAGTACAATACTTGTGGAGGTGCACTGTTGCACTCTATGAAGTTGGATGTTAGCATGTCACTAAGCTAACAGCATGCTATAACCAAAAATGTATAGCACATAAATATTAGGTAAAACAGCCCATTTGTAAATAGATTTTCCATGTTTCTGTTACTGAATGAAAAGCTCATCACAGTGTATTTTGGGATTGCCGAGAGACGGTATCTGAGATGGTAGCACACCGATCAAAACAGCCTTCACAACAGCATCACGCCTACAATGCTGTCTAGGTAGGCGGCTCACTGGATTTTGGAATACAGCTATTGTTTACTGTTCTGTACTATATTTGCTCACAGTGTTTGTTTAGACAGATGTGGAAGGACTCACGGTGGTATGCTGTCAAACTCTGGGACGGTAATGAACTCCATCTCTTTGATCTGGTTGCGCTGAGGTTTCCTGGGCGGCCCCTGTTCCTGAGGGGCGGGTGGCGCATCTGTCTGCCTGCTCTGAACTGCCACCTGTCCTCCTCTGAAGACAACACAAAAAGCCAAACTCATCAATTTCAGTCAAGTGGTTCATGTTTTTTGTGCTTCCTAATGATGAAGCAAACTGAATAAGGCACCATTCCAATGTGGTATAGTTGGCAAAGAAACACAAAAACAGGAAATACCCTTGCGGAGCTGCTTGCTGGCCTCTTTTGGGCATGTGCGGAGGGATGTTGTTCTTGAGGTGAAGGACATCCTGCTCGTCCTCCAGGAAAAAAACTTCTAGATCCTGTTGACAAGATCAATAAAAGAGAACCAAAGTAAAAATATAGCTTTTGATCATATGTGATGAAGTTTTACTAGTGATGGGCACCTTTGAAACACTGCTTCATGAAGCTTCAAAACCTCCAGAGCAGTTCACAGAGCATATATCAAACTTCGAAAGAGTGAATCGTTTTGTGAAGCAATGGGTTCAACTGATTCAGAGTTTTCGAAAAGCTCCCATTACTTAATGTTACAATTACAGATATTATCTATAAAATAAAATAAATATGAATGAAAATATCACACCTTCAAATGCTTAAGCAAGCCTCTCTGCTCGCCCACATATCTCTCAAAGCGATCCAGAAGCTCGTTGATGGCAGAGACTTCTTGCTCGATTTTGAGAAGAGTCCCACGTTTGTCCGGATCTTTTGCTAAAGAAAAAAAATCGCATGAGACATACCGTAACAAATTATACCAACACCAAGGAACACAATTTAAAATGATAAAATATAAGTCAATTTGTGAACTCATTCATTATTTTACAGAACCAGGTAGAGATGTACCAAAAATATTCGCCAGAAACAGCGAAACAAAATTCGACTTTGGTCAAAATGGTTTTGGAGTGTCAAAAAATAGTGATGTTTAATTAGACCTTCTCCGATGCTGTTTTTTTGACTGGTAAACATCAGCAATTTGGATGCAGATCACCGCAAAAAAAAATTATGCTAGAATAGCAATATGTAAAAATTTGTGAAGATGGTGAAGAACATTACTCTGTTTAATTTATTAAATTAGTTCAGTTAAGGCTCATTCACACCAAGTACAATATATATCAACTATATTAGTGTGCACATTACCGCAGAATAAAGCTCAGTTTACTACAGTAATGGTCATTTGCCGCTTTAAATGCTCAGGCTCTTTAAAGCAGGATGGATTCCGACTTTTTGATTAGGTTCTTATTCAACATAATTATATCAACAGGAAAAAAAATGGAAGTGATTTCAGTATGGTTCTTTTGTGCTGTTATCGTTATAGTTGTGTTGTGGGCTCTGCTATTCTTTTAAATTTAGAAGTTTTTTTTTTTTACAACTACATTTATATCGTTGTGAATGTGACTTTACGGAGTCACTCCAAGTTAATGAGCGAAATTTTTTTTTCGGCTAAATGCGAACTTTAATTTCGGTTTCGGTAGAAAATTATTTCGGGTACATCACTGGCAATGGTAAATATAGTAAATACAGCATACCAACAGCTCGAAGCTCCAGGAGACTTTTAATCATGGAAATTTTGTCGTTAATATGTTGCGTCACTTCTTCAAGCTCACAGTGATTCATTTCTTTAAAGAGAAGATAAAAAGATTAGGGGTCAACAAGAGCTCACATTCAAAGACACACACAACACTACTTACCAACAGCCTAGAAACAAGCCAAACATACCTTGGCAACAACACCCTAGCAAAGCAACAGTGTCCACTCTGAACACCTTAGCAATTGATTCCCAATAATTTAGCAACCACTCACTCACACACACACACACACACACACACACACACACAGTGCACACACCACTGTAACGTTACCATTATATATAGATCAGTGGCGCACACACTCATAACAGCTTAGCATCGCCCTAGCAACCTTGCAAAAAGCCTACAGAAGGCGTATCTGACACAACTCAATTATATTTACTGTATATAAGCTATATGTCGAAATGTCCACGTTTTAAAGTTTTCAGTGAAGGCTTTATCAGTTCTTCTTTGTGTTGTTTTCTTTTTGTTAGTCTTTATGAGCTTATATATGACACACAATGTTACCACGTCTACAACAAATCTAGTGACTGACAGTTCGCAGCGGGAAAGGGAGACACTATACACCAGGGGTGTCCAAACTCGGTCCTGGAGGGCCGGTGTCCTGCAGAGTTTAGCTCCAACCAGTGTTGCCAACTAATTTTCAGGGGAAGTTGCTAAAGTAAGGTTGATTTGTTGCTAAAAGTTGCTAAATGATGTTGTGATGACATTGCGTGATGACGTCATTACGTAATCACAATGCAAAATTATGTCAAATCTCAGCAAAAACATATATATTTTATATATGTTAATTTAGATTTGTTCATAACAATATAACTGCATAATATAATATTAAAATATAAATAACTATTTTTAAATCCATTGAAGTATCGAAAACTTACACATTTTTGAACGATTACAATTAAAGTTTTATACTTTAAAGCAGTTTATTAGTAGTTAGTTAGTATGCTGCACTCTAAGAAAAGTAAAACATTTTGCACAATCTACTGTGTTAATATAAAGGAATTTTCTGGACTGATTTTTCCACAGGTTTTTGTACCTGCATTTTAAATTACGCATTGTATTTTGTGTTTTCGGGTTACAACGGAGAACGGATAATGTCCTGGAAAATTACTAGCACCTTTTCCATTTTTCTGCATATTTTTCTTACAGTGTACTAACTCATCAACAATCGCAGGTACAAGCTACTAAACAAAGTGTCTCATAAATTAAAAATAACAGTATTCCATTATTATTATTATTATTATTATTACTATTAAATTAAACAATTGCAAATAGCAGCTAACTTAATTCCTGTAACGTGTGTATACTAGGCATCTTTGGTTTCCTCTTTTTGTGTAATTTTAATGGTAAATTGTGCCTTTTTATCGTTTGAGTCACTTATCAAAAGTTGCTAAAAGCTGCCAAATAATTGAGTCACTTATCAAAAGCTGCTAAAAGCTGCCAAATAAATTAAAAAAAATAGCTAAATTTGTTGCTAGGTGCTTTTGGAAGAAAAAGTTGCTAGGGTAGTCTGAAAAGTTGCTAAATTTAGCAACAAAATTGCTAAATTGGCAACACTGGCTCCAACCAGCTCCAAAACACCTGCCTGGAAGTTTCTAGCAAGCCTAGTACGAGCTTGATTAGCTGGTTCAGGTGTGTTTGATTAGGGTTGGAGCTAAACTCTGCAGGACACCGGCCCTCCAGGACCGAGTTTGGACAGCCCTGGTCTAAACGATCTGTTACAGGCACAAAACACGGTCCATAAACTTACTGTTGAACGACTGTTGATAGTCGCGGTTTAAAATACTTTTTGCATCGGTCTCAAACTAACGACACTGTTTTGAATAAATCGGCAACATTACAAGTTAAGAAAGAACATACACATACAATTAATGATACTCGCCTGTCTTATGGATTTGTTTATGGGATTGATTAGAGTGTTTCAGAAAGGGATGTGAAGTCAGATCGCGCCAAAGTTCAAATACAAGCACGCGCAAAACACACCATGTGATTCTTCCACACACTTTCGTCACAGAGAGACTCACTCTTTAGCATTTCTCAGGTATTTAATTTACTTTCTGATGAGACCATTCTAAATATGATGTAGGCTGTTGTTTATAACACTGGCTCTATCTTGATTTAATATGCATTTATGAAATCTTTTCCCAAGTTTGTTAATGCTGTCAGATGTTCTGGTAATATCAAATCGGTCTTCAAACTGAAGACCTTTTTTATACAACGGCACATATGCGCTGGTATGTGTTACGGTGTTTTTATTTATGTATTAACTTTTAATTTTAAGTAATTGTGCTTTTCTGAGTCATGACCATGATGTCAACTAGGTCACATACATTTTTAAAGAATTTGCTTCGAGTTTTTATGTAATTGACCCATATCATAAGATATCTTAAAGGGGTCATATGATGCTGCTAAAAAGAACATTATTTTGCAATGCCATAGAAGAACCATCTGGGGTTCCCTAAAAAAACCTTTCAGTGAACAGTTCTTAAAATAGTTTTTTTCTTGGTTTAAAGAACGTTTTAATTGTCTGAAAACCCCTTTTCCACTTTAAAGAGCCCTTGGGAAAATTCCATGAATGTTCTTTATGGAGCCATACATGCTAAAGAGGAACCTTTATTTTTTAAGATGAATACTATGAATAACTTTATCAAGATTCAGTGTTTGGATGCGACTGTCAATCCAAGAAAAATGCTGTCTGTTTTAAAAAACTGAAACAGAGAAAATGCTGAATTTATCGAAGCATTTATTTCAGGCACTGGGTCACATTGTACAGTTACTGGAAACTGACTGTTTCCTTATCTGAGATTCTAAGCTGAGACCCAGATCCAGACCAAAACCACAAAATCAAGACCAACTCAGGAAATGAGCAAATAACAACAAATCCTTCAACAACATTCACTTTTTTTAATCAAACGACTGAGGTGTTAAACCCCCATGAATACAAAAACTATCAAACAAACACCAACATCACCACAATATTACAGTATTTTTTGCCACGAACAGTAGAAATGTAAACACATCTGCTCCTTTGAACCTCATATTTTTTTGCGAGCAGTATAGAAAAATCAAACTCGGGTCTGCTACAGTACTTTTTTTCTTTCAGATTCCGTCAAGTGTCACAATATGAGCCAGCTTTCAGAGTCCAAGAGAAGCTTTGAGCAGCGAGGTCATATCATCAGGTAATGAGTCCTCTTCACCTGGAAGAACCAAGCATATTTGTATTCATTTTACAAAAAAACAGGTAAAAATCCCTGTGAGCTTTATTAAAGTGTTCTCACCCTCCTGAGTTGCGGTCATGTCCTGCTCTAGTTTGAGTTTTCTTTCTCCAATGCGGAGCATGGTGTCCTCTATGGAGTCCTTACTTATCAGCTTGATCACCTTCACCGTCCTTAAATGTGACAAATGCATTCAGATATAAAAGCATTAGGACAGACGATAGTGAAACAAAAGGAAAGCCTACTGTGAGACACACATGTCCAGTGTTCTCTAACCTGGTTTGTCCCACCCGGTGACAGCGTCCCTCTGCCTGTTTGTCATTGTAAGGGTTGCAGTCGATATCGTGAAGGATGACCACATTGGCTGAAGTCAGGTTAATGCCTAGTCCTCCGGCTCTGGTGGACAGCAGGAACACAAATATATCCTGGTCTGTGTTGAACTGGTCAATCAGCCCAATTCTGTAAAAGCCCAGTGAGATTTACAATTACTGTCCATTTACTTAATTGGCATTAAGAAGTCACTTTTTTTCTATCTGAAGTGATAAACAGTATGCTAACAGAAGCAAAAGTCCCTGTGGATCATGGGGTTAAGTGCTTTGGCCAAGAAAACAACGGTGGGAGAACAGGATGGTGACCTACATGAATGAAACCGAATGAAGTGTAGCTAGTTAATTTACATTTTGGTAATAATTCCAAAAATGAATAATAATTGGTATTATGTCAATACCACAATAATTAAATTTAAGTGGAAATCCACCACGCACAATATATCAGTGCCATATGATATCAGTTACTGGCTGATATCTGTGATTTTTATTTTATTTGTTTTGTTTTTTTATGTGCTTTATTTTTTCTGTATTAATATTGGATATTTAATTATTTACATATATTTTGAGAATTAGATCATCATCTACTAACTTAAATGGATAGCCGTATATTATCTCTTGAAGAGCACATGTACACTACAGTTGATAAGTTTGGTGTCAGTGAGATTTTTATTTCTTTTTGAAAGAACTTAATACTTCAGCAAGCAAGGATTCATTGATTAAAAGTGACAGTAAAGACGTATAAATGTTATAAAAACTATATTTTGAAATATAAATGCTGAACTTTCTATTTATCAAAATCTTGACAAAAAAATCTATCACGGTTTCCACAAAAATATGATGCAGCACAACTGTTTATAACACTGATAATAATAATAAATGTTTCTTGAGCAGCAAACCAGCGTATTAGAATGATTTCTGAAGGATCACGTGACACTGAAGACTGAAGTAATGATGCTGAAAATTCAGCTTTTTTTAGCTATTTTAAAATATATTAACATGTATCATTATTAATATTAAAAGAAATATATTTTAAATTGTAGTAATATCTTTAATAATAATTCATAATTACATTTTATTTATTTTATTGAATATTTAAGACATTTCAAATAATTTGAAAATGACGGTACATTCACGCGGGGCGTCGGCGTCATCACCTCTCGTTTACTTTGAATGAAGTAACGTGAAGCATTGTCGAACTGAATTGTGGGTCCATCACATCGCATCATTGGCGTTGCTCGCGGCAGAAGTTGACAACTTTTCAACTTTTCAAGCGCCAACGCAGGCGTCAGCTAATCAGATCGCCGATTTAAGGCTGATTTATACTTCTGCGTCGAACCTACGCCGTAGGCTATGCGTCAGTTTTCATTTATACTTCTGCGTCGTTGTCCGCGTTTTTTTAGCTATTTTAAAATATATTAACATGTATCATTATTAATATTAAAAGAAATATATTTTAAATTGTAGTAATATTCCACAATAATACTGATTTGATGGATTTTTTTGATAAAATAAATTCAGCCTCAGTGAGCAAAAGAGACTTTTTTAGTGGTCGACCGATATCGTTTTTTTTTTTTTTTTCACAGCCGATGCCGATATCTTAGAAAGCAGGGTATCCCATTGCCGATATATATATATATATATATATATATATGAAGTATAAATCAGCCTTTATGCAAATACCCTAGCGTAGATGCTAGCCACTATGACGGTTGCGTCAGCACCAAGCTTCAGACACGCCCTCCATCAAGCGTTGATGCCGAAGCCCCATGTGAATTACCGTGAGTTAAAAAAAATAAATGTCTAAAATAAACATACTTTAGATGACAACTTCATGATGCTGTAATCCTATTTTCACAAATAAAAAATATTTTAAAATACATAAAAAAAGGAAGTAAACACTGTAACCAACAGGGCACTCAGTAATCGGGGAAGTTTGTGTGCACTGGGAATAATAAAATAAAATAAAAAACAAAATAAAAGTCTCTAACATATCGGCCGATGCCAATATTTGAAAATGGCAAATATTAGCCAACATATCGGCCTTGGTTGACCACTACGTTTTTTATCTTACAATAAATAAATAAAACAATAAATAAATACAACCTTATAATAATTAACAAAGAATTGTAATAATGTAAATTTTTAGAGTAATAAATATATATATTTTTTAATGTATAATTACATTTGGTTGTCCAAAGGTCAAATTATTAAACAAAACCACTCCTAGCAAACAAAACCCAGAACAAAAATCCACGCCTACCGAAACAATAACGGCACAGAACACAAAACAAGACCAATAATTTTCACAGGGCAAAACAGATGGTCTCTTCCGGTCTAAACTGGTGGTTCTTGGCCAGAACATGAAGCCAATAGTCTGTTTCCGTGAAACGAAGACAGACAAAGTCTTCAAGGACACGGATGGAGAACACTGTGTCACTGAAGGAGACACGATCCGTGATTTACGACAGCTGTGACGAGACACAATAATCATGTCCACCTCAACACGAGCTGCCAACATTACCTCTCTCACTCGCTCCTGTCATGAGTCTGGACTTGAGCCGACGATACAAGGACACAGATGATGATCTGAGACTGTCCTGAATTCCTTAACTCAGCAACACTTGACATCTAAGTGTGTTTACCTGTCACTCATGGGGGTTGAACCGTCCAGTCGGTTGTATCTGTGCTTATGGTGTCTCAGGAACACCTCCAAAATGTCAAGCATCATTGTGAACTGGCTAAAGAGCACCACTCGATCACCCTGCGCAGAAAAAAAGAGAGATATTAAACATGCTGATGAAAATGAGAGGAAAAGATGATCAAATTCATTGTATGTAAAAGAGCAGCATGAACATTGTGCTAAATGTCTGCTTTTGTGTTCTACAGAAGAAATTAAGTCATATGGGTTTGGAATGACTGTCGTCTACTGTGTGCTGTAACCAAGTATATACTATGTCTATAGGTGACTATGCAATATGGTGTAATTTGGGACACAGTGTATTTCTCTGCACAGTTAAATAACTTTCATTATACTCTAAGGGGTTGTTGAAAATGTAATTTGGTCTGCCGAACATTACAGGAATCTGTTTTCCCCAACCTTCTCCTTCAGGGAGTTCAGCAGCTGTGCGAGGAGGCCGAGCTTCCCCGAGTCCAGCAGTATGTCTGTATCGAGCTGGTATTCCTGCAGTGCAGAATACTGCTGACAGAGGCGGTGCAACTCAAAGTCCGAGAGCACCTCCATGTCCTCTTTGATGAGAGCGGGATCTGCATCACGGTGACTCGGCTCCTGGAATTAATGGTAACATGCACACTCTTCAGATAAGTTACACATATAACATATAACAGAACAAGTAAAAAACTACACTCACAATAAATATCTGCCCTAATTATACTCATTCCCTGCTGCAGTTCTATACGAAGCACTAAGTCAAGATTGACCAATACTGTTGCTTTATGACTTAATAAGATTACCTATAACCTGATATTAATATAGATTATGTTTAAGTGTACTGTATGACCGAAGTGCCAAACCGATTTTTAATTTGTTTTATTTCATATTTTTGACACAATAAATAAATCAACATTATACTACAGCAATAAAAAATTACATGTTTATGAATGTTATTATTATTGTTTTATTATTATTATTGTATTTATTCATTTATTAATTTTTCCCCCCCACACAGCTGTTCGTGGACTAACACTGCTCTAAAAGTGATTACATAAGTATTTTCCACAGCAACCTAATAATAATAATAATAATTCTTATTGTTATTTATAAAGAAAAATAATGATAATAATATTGTAATCATAACTATTATTATTATTTTCCATACAGCTGTTCACAGACCATTGTGACCAATAATGATGATGATAATAATAATAATAATTACTTAAAAAACAATAATAATATATTCATAAAAATATATTTTATTGCTTAACATTTTTCGGCATTGTATAATATTCATACATTTATTATTATTATTATTATCATCCATACAGCTGTTTGTGGACCAACACTGCTCTGAAATTGATTGTTTATTTTCCACAGTGGCCTAATAATAATAATAATAATAATGTTATTATAATTTTTGATACATTTATATAAATATTATTATTAATTTATTATTATTTATATTTATGTTCAATGACTGTTTTATTGCAGTATAATATTCATAAAGATTCATAAATAAAATTAACTAAATATTATTATTATTATTATTATGTATTTTCTGTACAGCTGTTCTGAACAGTTGTTCAACAGTGTTCTGAAATGTATAAAATTAGTATTTTTCACAGCACCCCATTTTTACATTTAGATAAACCTTTCCCTAAACAACAATTACAAGAAACTTTTTGACGCCGATCAGACTGTCTCTTCATGTATAAATGGATAACTCTGGATAAGAAATGGATAAGACAAAAACGGTATCCGACTTAATGCGATAGTCCAAAGTCTGGCTACATGAGCTCTGCTGACCTACATAAAATCAGTGCAGAAAATGTAAGAAGCCCACCGATTCCATCAGGGCCTGCTAAGATCTAAACTTCCTGCGGCGTTAATCAAAATGTACCACTTCATATAAAAATATCTCAGACCTTGAGCATGAGTCTGCTCATAGCTTTGAGTTTTTCTGTGGTATAATATTGCCGGTGAAGAAGCGGGTGGTTGGACATCTTCCTCAGCTGCATCATCACATTGGTCAGCTCGCGTTCTGCAGAAAGACGTGGTTAATAAACTATGATTCACATATACTGAAGCCAGTACCATTTATAACAACACCTCCTTCAAATACATACTTTCCCCATTACTGGAGCGCTTCAGTTTGTGGAAAAGAGCGTTGTAGAGTTCCTGCTGCTTCTCGGACATGGCACAAAATTCAACCTGCTCCTCTTTGGCAGGCAGCTGCTTCAGGACCTGCTGGGCACATCATCATCTGTCAGTGAATCGCTGGAGTGCCCTAAAGCCACAGAGGGTCAACACGACAAGCAAAGTGCCTCATCTGCTCGTGAGACTGAATAATGCATTTGAGATGTTGTCCAACAGATTTTCACATTGGCATGCATTCTGAGACCACATGCATTATGCAGAATGCTTATGGACTCTGCATGCAAATGCACCTCGCTCTTCACACGTCTGAGGATGAAGGGTTTCATGATGAGCTTGGCATGGGTGATCCTGTCCCTCTCGAAGCTGCTCTGCTCCTCTGAAGATTTCTGGTGGAAACAGACCAAAGACATATTAGAAATACCTGAACTAGATTTTTCATTTATTGAAGAAAATAAGAGTGCTGCTTGCCCTGATGGTAGGGTCTTCTGGGTGGTTGCTATAGTGTTGGTATACTGGGTACTTTCTACAGGCATGGCAAGGTGGTTGCTAGGGTGTTGTTAAGGGGTTCTGGCTGCTTTCAGAGGGCATTAGGCTGGCCTTTAGGTATTAGGTTGACTAATTGGTTACTAGGGTGTTGCTAAGGTGTTCTTGGTGCTTGCTAGGGCATCAGGCTGGCCAGATGGTTGCTAGGGTGTTGCTAAGGTACTCTAGGTGCTTTCTAGGGCATCATGCTGGCCAGATGGTTGCTAGGGTGGTGCTAAGGTGTTCTGGGTGCTTCCTATTGGCATTAGGCTGGCCTTTAGGCATTAGGCTGGCCAGATGGTTGCTAGGGTGGTGCTAAGTTGTTCTGAGTGCTTCCTAGGGCATTGGGCTGGCCAGATGGTTGCTAGGGTGTTGCTAAGGTACTCTGGGTGGTTTCTAGAGCATGACTAGGTGGTTGTTAGGGTGTTGCTAAGGTGTTCTGGGTGCTTTCTAGGGTATTGGGCTGTGCTTTAGGCAGTAGGCTGGCAAGGAGGTTACTAGGGTATTGCTAAGGTGTTCTGTGTGCTTTCTAAGGTATCACTAAATGTTGCTTATGTGTTCTGGGTGCTCTCTAGGCCCTAGGGCATGACTAGGTGGTTGCTAGGGTGTTGCTAAGGTGTTCTGGGTGCTTTATAGAAAATTACTAGGTGGTTGATTGAGTTAAGTGATACCATGCAACTTAAGCAAACCCTCAAGCTAATGTTTTAGAAAGAAAAAAAAATGGATAAAGTAATGCCCCAACGACAAATCAAATCTTTTATGCTCTCATAAAATCTTGGATGTTAAAATTGTGGCAAAACCGTACAGCATGCTCCCAGCTTTATGTTGTTTACTATGAGCAACAATGATAAAAATGCACAATATCGGTGCAATATTGTTTATCAGCCAATATTTTAATGATTTTGAATCTATCTGTATAGGTTAATATTTAATATAAATTATGAAGATATTGTATATCTAATTTTGCATGCCCATTTCCCCTTTTTACCTTTAAATTTAGCAATATTCAGAAAAGTAAAAAAAAAATCACATACAGCATTTAAAATTACTAGTTTTAGTTTTCATTGTTTTTTATGTTAAAAACTCGTATTGAACTTTAGTTATCAATAATTATAATTTGTGTGATGACTGCCTTAACCACTGCTAATAATGTCAGCCCTATCAGAGATGGACATTTAAGCGTGTGCAGGTTCTACCATGGAGAACATCTTTGAGATCTGTGAGGTGCTGCTGGAGAACATATTGGGCATGATGAAGTTGAGCAGAGACATGAGCTCCAGTAGGTTGTTTTGCAGCGGGGTTCCAGTGAGCAGCAGACGATATTTAGCCTGAGGGGACACAAATGGAGGAGAAACCTGAGTGCCTGAGGGGGCAAAGGCAGTTAAACCCCAGTGGTTAACCCCATTGGAGCAGCACACACTCCTGCTTTTACACAAACAGACCGTGTGGCTGTAATAGAGCTCGAGGCATTTATTCTTAATGACCACTGACGCGTTGCTATGGATGACAGCTACAGTATACATGCAGCTTATGGTGAGCTTACGTTGATGGCCATGAGGTGTCGGTAGCGCAGCGAGTTCATGTTCTTCAGCAAGTGGCCTTCATCGAACACAGCATACTCCAGCTTGAGCTTGCAGAACAGGCTGCGGTCACTGCTATTTCCAATAGCCAGGTTGTAACTGTGCACAAGAGACCATCTTAATGAGCCGAGGTATTAAGGGGCAGGACATGAGGCACAGCCATGTTTCATTACCATAAATAATGAATGGGACAGGGTCATTTTACTTGGACCTTTTCACGTTCACTCAAACGCTGAGTATTTCATCATTATTATGTCTTTAACAAGGGTGCTTTTTTCTATGCTAACTTCACGGCTTGTGGCTCCGTGTGTGGCTTAGTTCAAAAGATACATATTTCCCCAGGCACCTTCTCGGATTTGCATGCAGGTGGTCTACGAAGGATATGACACCTTGACTCTTACTTCGAGGGTTCAGGGCAAGAACCATGAGTGTATCTGAGAGCTTGAACTTCGATACTCACGTGGAGACAATGATGGAGAGAGAGAGAGAGGCAATAAATAAATGAGTGGATGAATGAATGAACTTCACCTGTAAAAGATTTAAAAAAGGCTTGGTTTTACCATAATATATCAGCACTTTGAACCTGGGGCACCAAAGATTCAGTTCCCGAACCCAATTATCTGTAAAAGAAACAACAAGTTTAGCTGATTCAGACTGTTTCGGTGTTGTATGGTGATGGTTATTTGTATATTTATATGTGTGTGTGTAATATATGTGAGTGTGTATCTTAAATATACACAGTACACACACATATATTATGTAAGCACATACTTTGTTTTTGGAAGCGATTAATCATGATTAATCGCCTCCAAAAACAATGATTAATCGATTTTACAGCCCTAGTTATTTAGATGCTAATTGCTCTATTCACCAAGTGTAGAAGCAGGAACGGTGATGAGATGAGGCCCATGGTTCCCTTCCTGATAAAGGTGGGCCAGAAACGAGATGGTCTGAATGGTCTTCCCCAAACCCTAAAAGAAGAAAACGCATCCAAGCGATTAAATATGGGATCATCGCAATGAAAATGATCATTCAGACACAACCATCATAAAAACAGACCATCTCATCTGCCAGGATTCCACTAAGTTTGTTCTGATGTAGTAAAGCCAGCCAGTTCAGTCCAATCAGCTGGTACGGTTTCAGCTGGAATCTAGAAAAACCCAAAGAAATATGAAAATAAATGATCACTCTGCAATGAAAATGCCATTTTTTTCTGAAATCTATGTTAAATCTTACGTGCTAGTGAGGATCTGGGGTTGGCTCATAGAGCCCGGGCCCTTGTTCATCACTTGGGTCACGTCTTGGATCAGTTTTACCGATATCTCCTCACACTTGCTCATGAGACCTTTAACAACTTCCCTTTCCTTCAGAACCTCCCTACATCCTGTCAGCAGCTCAGTGGAAAGACCGTTTCCTCTGTGCATGGCGTCATCCTGAGAAAGAAATGAGAAAAAGTGTTGCTCTTTGATCATGACCTCATGTTCTGGCAGTTATCAGCAGAAAGCAAAATGCGCAGTTCTCTCACCAGGTTTTTCCATGTTTTAAAGGGTCTCAGCTCTGTGATTTTCTGAGCCTTCTTCAAAGAGCATCCTGCAATGAGTGTGAGCTCATCCACAGAAGCGGTCTGAAAGAAGCTGAGGATCTCAGATTTGAGTTTGGATAGGGTTTCATCTGATTGGTCAGAGTCAGAGTCCAGTAATACATTCACCAAAGAGGCCTCAGAGTCACTGCACTCCTCCTCTGAGCTCACATATATGGTTTTGGTCACTACCGACTGCTTTGCACTCCTCTGAGATGGTTTGGTCCCGTCAAGAGGTCTGTGTGGTTTTGGTTGGGGTCGGCTGGGAAGTTGGACAACCTGAGTTTGTTGATGGGTACTTGCGCCCCGTCTGGTGCGTTTGGCAGCAGTGGAAATTTGAGAGGTGTCATCCTCAGACTCAACTTCTAAATGTACAGAAAGAGTGTAAGCATTAGGACAATTATCACATGCTTATGTAGCATCTTTGTTCTCATGGCTCTATCTAAATTTGAATTAAAAATGCTTAATTATGGGATGGATGGTTGCCTAACAACTAGCAGCTGAATTTCTGCTTATGAAAACCTCAGCCCAGCTGAGACTTGAAATTTTGAATATTTTTCTGGATGGGAAAGAGATGTTGACATCTTTAATTAATTTAATTTAAATCAATTTAATTTAATCTAGCTCCACACCAATAGGTGTCAGTATAAAGTTCAAGACTACTGCTGTATCTGTTGTTTAAGAAAACTAATAAGATCTAGAATCAGGTTGTAAAGTAAATAAATAAATAATAAACTATAAATATTACAAGTTTAATGATCACGATATCGCCTAGCTTGTCAGTGAACTACGGCTCTGTGTATTAAATTGCGCTCCATCTGAAAGCAGGTGATGGAGATTTACTACCAATCACGGAACCGGCTTTACTGAAGAGATGCACATGACAATCGCATGCGATTAATTGCACAGCCCTATACTGTACTGGACATAATACATCCATCATGTTGCGCTGACCTACAATGTCAGTTGTAACACCGTTCCCTGGCATTTATAACTATGAAGACTCCTACCGTGGCCTCATGGGATAGTAAAGTGTCCATTGGCTATTGCTTCATGAAACTGCATATTACTACTTGGAATACTGCTTTGACATACTACAGTAAAGTACACATATTATTGTGTCTAGCGTGCTTTAAAGCTGTAGACAATAAATCTCCCATCAAATCTCACCAAGGTCAGAGAACATTCGTAGTGTTTCCAAGGCATCGTCAATAAGCCAGCTATGTTCCTGAAGCACATCCCTGAGTTCCTGCGGGACGTCACACACTTCAACATTAACCCTCAAGCTCAAACAAATATTTTATTCACGTACTGTACGAAAATGGCCAACGTCAGCCAGTAATGACTCACATTCTTGTTTAGATGGGGAAACTTCCTCTGGAGTTTTCTCAGCATACGTTCCTGATCTTTAGATCTCGGCTCAGGCCCCTCCTCCTCTGAATCATCCACCTAATGAGACACAAAACACCGTTGTGACCCACGTCCCAGTGCTGCAGGGCTGATGTATTTTTGTAGGTCGAAACCTGGAAACGAGTTTGCATTTTAGCATTCTGGTTCCATCGTCCTGAAGTAAATAGGTTTTTTTTTAGAATGGATTTTAAGTTAAAGGATTAGATCACTCCAGAATTGAAATTTCCTGATAATTTACTCACCCCCATGTCATCCAAGATGTTCATGTCTTTCTTCAGTCGAAAAGAAATTAAGGTTTTTGAGGAAAACTTTCCAGGAATTTTCTCCATATAGTGGACTTCAATGGGAGCCAACGGGTTGAAGGTCAAAATTGCAGTTTCAGTGCAGCTTCAAAGGGCTCTACACCGAGCAATAAGGGTCTTATCTAGAGAAACAATCGGCCATTTTCTAAAAAAAAAAAAAAAACCTTATACTTTTTAACCACAAATTCTTGTCTTACACTAGCTTGACTTCATGCATTAGGTAGTGACGTTGGAAAGGTCAAACGTGGCGAAGGTGGAAATACCGACCCAGTGTTTACAAGTGTGGAGAAGGAGGACTGTTCAAAAGTTATGTGTTGAATGACACATATTTATATGTCTTTGTATCAGTTTATTGTTTAAAATGGTCTGTTCGTGTGTGTATCCTGGATGTTTAAATCTTTTAAAACCTAAAAGATTTCTTCCACTGACTTTTCCAACGTGATTACGTAATGCATGAAGTTGTGGACGCGTACCGTAGAGCTAGTGCAAAACGAGCATGATGTTAAAAAGTATATATACATTTTTATTTTTTTAGAAAATAGTTTCACTAGATAAGACCCTTATTCCTCAGCTGGGATCGTTGTAGAGCCCTTTGAAGCTGCATTGAAACTGCAGTTTGGGCCTTCAACCCGTTGGCCGTCATTGAAGTCCACTATGTGGAGAAAAATCCTGGAATGTTTTCCTTAAAACCCTTAATTTCTTTTCGACTGAAGAAAGAAAGACATGAACATCTTGGATGACATAGGGGTGAGTAAATTATCAGGACATTTTAATTCTGGATTGAATTAATCCTTTAAATGTCTGAAATAAGGTCTGTGGTTAACATAAGATCGAGATATTTTCACGTTTTATCAGAAAATACCTCCTGTTTTTTTTTTTTAACCTTTTACTTGTCTTGAAAAAGGCCGTTACTGACAACAGCTAAATGGAGGTTGTCGGGGACATTAAACATCGTCATTATATCGAACAGGAAATCTCATCTACTCACTAGTCGCCCTCACACCTCATTGTGTTTATAATCTCGCTCTTGCAAACTGTTCTAACTCAAACTTACAGGGAAAATGTTTTTTAAATAAAGACTGAAAGAATGACGTTTGAGTCATGTGACTGTGATGTAATTGGTTTATAGCCTATGTTTAGCTTTGACTTGAAAAACCAATTGACCCTTCGCTGGGAGTTTGATTGACAGGCGATCTGACCAATCATAAAACTGAATCTGCCATTTTGTCCAACAAATAATCCAGACAGGAGAGTAGATTTACGTAGGAGGACTTGAACTTGAAAAATGGTGTGTATTGACGTCTTTTTACAATTGAAACAAGATATCTTCTGATGTTCATTCATGTTTATTTCATGCTTTAACTAGTAAAGAGGAAGAGATGATCTGTTAATGTGCCGCTTGAACTGAGGCGCTACAGCGATCCGTCACAACACGTTAAAAAGCCACAAAACTATATATTTTTTGCATTTCTTAAAAAATGGCAAAATTTGAAAGACTTTGCTTCATACCAAAGGCAACCTGCTCTGTCTTGTCTGTCAGCGTGTTGTCTTTTTCCTCTTTGCTCCGTGATGTATTTTTCACTGAGCGAGAACATGTGTGGCATGAGATCAGCATGTTGCGAAGGGTCAATTGTGTTCATTTGTGAAGATTATCAGGATGAATAAAATGGGTAAGAATCATATACTTTTATTGGTCAAAAAGCTTATTTTCTGCAATAATTGAAAAGCTTTTTGTGGAGCTAACCAAAGTAATGGTAACTTATGGGTTGCCCTACAGAAATACGTCATCACTGCAGCACTAAAGTGCAGACGCACACACTCTCGCCAATGACAAATGACGAATTGCCCAATAAATCATCTCGAAAAGGGATTAACCGGTAACCTGGCACTTGATATCCCAGGTAGAAAGACATACTGTTAGTGTCCTTGATCGGGACACTCTTTTCAATTTAGCCTCGGAGGATTTGCTGCGGCATAAAATGCCTTGCTGTCAGTATTGAGAGGATCAGAGACAGAGCGTCCCATGTTAATCCAATGACTGGGCCTGAGCTCACCGCAGAAGCCCGCCTCTTTCTCCTGCGATGGGAGCTGTCGCTCTCCTGGGAAGCGCCACACATCTGCTGCTGTCTCCTCTCGTGGACCGAATCAGACGCTGACAAGGAGAGCACGTCAACAAGGCTCAGCAACACTCGAATCAATGCAGCAAATGCATCTTCACCTTAAACTCAGCTGGATTCAGCAATACTGAAGCCATTCAAGCGATCAATGAGCTTTTATCATGGGAGCTGTTCAGATTGATGGAGTGGCTCTGCTTATCTGTACCTGCCATCCCAGACGTCTTCAGGGGCGAGGGGCGCGCACTATTGGTCACCTAAAACGTCAATGAGATGATTATTGACATGCAGCCCAAACGATGGCTGGAATGCACCCAAAATTGTCACAGTGGGTGTAGAAAGCGCTTGTTTTTACCATACGTGATCCTTTCTGTCGTGTTTTTAGAGCTTTTGAGGTAGATCTCGTTGTTCTGCTGTGCTTCGGCCTCCTCTCAGTCTTCACCACAGTTACTTCCTCTTCATCAGACAGTGATATCTCATCATCAGATGACAGCACTATTTTCTCAGGCTCTTCTTGCCTTCATATCAAAAAATGATGAACAACTTTGTAGGGTTGGAACTATTTGATCAAATAAATACCTTTTCATTATCAATTCTAAGGTCAAGTCTCAGCAATGGCAGTTTATGGCAGTAAAAAAATGCATGTGAGGACTTAAAAGCAGGTGCAGACAGAACCTGCAGACTTTTTTTGCACTCTGCATTGTATAATTTTGTAAGGCTGCAAATATTTCATCAAATCGATAATAACTGGTAATGAAAATGGTCAACAACATTATTGATTCATCAGCTAGAGTGTAAAAAAAAAAAAAACTGTACAATGCAAGTTGTTCAAAGCATGTACTGTATCCCCTTAAATAGCCTGTTAAATTTACAAAATATCAAAAAATCCAAAATTTAAATTTACAAAATATTAAATAACCTGTTACATTTACGGTTAAAAAAAAAATTAAGCCAGAAATTCATTGTAAGAAATGCAGTGACAGTGTTTCATGTATTACAGGATGGCATATTGGTGCCTGCATATTTTTTATATTTTATTATATAGCTCTTAAGTGATATAATGTTTATACACTAAAATCTGCTTTTTACCATAAAATGTACTGATAACCACTTTAATAATGCAAAAAATATAATAAAAATAACCAAATATAATATAATAAAAAAATATATAATTATATAAAATATAATAAAAAGCCACACTATGAATCATCATAAGTACATCATAAATAGCCTATTGATAAAAAATGACCAGTACTCTTATGTAGACAGTGCTCATATGCACAAACACAAAATAACATCAGAGTAACACACGTGACACTAAAATAATGGGAAAACATTATCTAAATAACAGAACATGTAACACAAAACACCCTAATGTACATTACTAATAACAATAATGAGAAGAAAAATATGTAGATAAAATATTTTCATGTGACGCCGGGATTTCTGGGAATGTGTTTACTGTAAATTATATGGCAGTTCATAGGTTTTCCTTCCAAAACGCATACAGTTTTACAGTAAAATTACATTCAATGCAATGTTAAACCATAAACTTACAGTTAACTAATTAATTGGTTTTACTATAAGCATTTTCTTTTAAGATTATAAACATTTTTACATTGTGGGAGAATTATATATTCACAGTGCCTCGGCCTGAGCACAAATACTGCAGCTGATTACTGACCTGACTGGCATCATGGAACTGCCTAAGATCTCAATATCAGAGTCAGAGTCAGAAAGGGCAGTGGAGAGCGCTGATCCTGATGGACGTTGGGTTTCGGGAGTCTCTGGAATGATAGTGTCTGACTCTGCTGGAATAAAGCAATAAAGCACAGGAGGCCGTCAGGCAAAAACACAACGCATGCCCTTGAGAGGCTTATTACACTGTTTGCATTGGCAACACTGTACTGATATTCCTCAGACATTCTAGTTGCTGACTGTCAGATATTAAAGACATGAATAGAATATAAATACATTTAAATATCAACAGCGATGACGTTTTTATAATATTTGCATAGCTACTTAATTGGCACCAGGTTTGCTATGATGGGAACACTCTAATTAATGCTATTTTATTCATTAACCATTGTGAGATGGCCACATAAAACATTAAATAAAACAATATTAAATCAATTTGAAGAACAGGGTCTCGTCTGAAGTTCATACTGTCAAACTCATCAAACCTACCCGAGGGACCCACATGATTAGAGGATGCTGCTCCTTTCTTCCTCCTCATTGTTCAGTCTTGACGCGTTATCAACAGCTCAGTCCAGCTTTACGCGCCATGTCATGCATTTCAATCGATACAATCATCGACTTCTGACTCGTGCTTCCCCGAATCTACTATCTATCAACTGGAATGAGCTGATTTTCGGACAAGAATAGCATTTCTCTCTAACAAAGAATTCGCTCACCGGCGAGCTAATAAATTATTGCTTTGTCAATAACAGCCTCGCATCGGCTTCGGCCATCGGTAAATACCAGAAAACCCTTTTAACTCGGACCATTTCTCTGCACGTTATGAGTCTTTGGGATATTTCACCGGGTTGTATTGTACCTAATGTTTTTAATGAATGAAGACAGCGTAATCACGCTAGCCGGTTGTAACATCTGTAACTACGGTGGCCGCGAAGGTAACGTACGTACGTGTAGTCACAGGGGACCGAGCGAGAGTATGAACTTTAATACGATACATTACATTTTTATTTTATCTTAATTATTATTATGTAATTTATTCCAGTGATGCAAAACTGAATTTTCAGCATCATTACTCCAGTCTTCAGTGTCACAGGATCCTTCAGAAATCATTCTAATATGATTATTTGCTGCTTAAGAAACATTTATTATTAATATAAATGGTGAAAACAGTTGTGCTACTTAATATTTATGCAGAAACCGTGATATTCTCCCATTCAGATGTTTGGGGTATGTGTGTATATGTGTTTTATATATATATTTTTTTTTAGAAATGCATGCTTTTATTCATCAAATATGCATTAAATTGATCAAAAATGACAGCAACACATGTATAATGTCACAAAAGATTCTATTTCAAATAAATGCTGTTCCTCTGAATTTTGTATTCATCATAGAATCCTTAAAAAGTTTCAACAAAATATTGAAGAACAGGGTCTCGTCTGAAGTTCATACTGTCAAGCTCATCACACCTACCCGAGGGACCCACATGATTAGAGGATGCTGCTCCTTTCTTCCTCCTCATTGTTCAGTCTTAACGCGTTATCAACAGCTCAGTCCAGCTTTACGCGCCATGTCATGCATTTCAATCGATACAATCATCGACTTCTGACTCGTGCTTCCCCGAATCTACTATCTATCAACTGGAATGAGCTGATTTTCGGACAAGAATAGCATTTCTCTCTAACAAAGAATTCGCTCACCGGCGAGCTAATAAATTATTGCTTTGTCAATAACAGCCTCGCATCGGCTTCGGCCATCGGTAAATACCAGAAAACCCTTTTAACTCGGACCATTTCTCTGCACGTTATGAGTCTTTGGGATATTTCACCGGGTTGTATTGTACCTAATGTTTTTAATGAATGAAGACAGCGTAATCACGCTAGCCGGTTGTAACATCTGTAACTACGGTGGCCGCGAAGGTAACGTACGTACGTGTAGTCACAGGGGACCGAGCGAGAGTATGAACTTTAATACGATACATTACATTTTTATTTTATCTTAATTATTATTATGTAATTTATTCCAGTGATGCAAAACTGAATTTTCAGCATCATTACTCCAGTCTTCAGTGTCACAGGATCCTTCAGAAATCATTCTAATATGATTATTTGCTGCTTAAGAAACATTTATTATTAATATAAATGGTGAAAACAGTTGTGCTACTTAATATTTATGCAGAAACCGTGATATTCTCCCATTCAGATGTTTGGGGTATGTGTGTATATGTGTTTTATATATATATATATTTTTTAGAAATGCATGCTTTTATTCATCAAATATGCATTAAATTGATCAAAAATGACAGCAACACATGTATAATGTCACAAAAGATTCTATTTCAAATAAATGCTGTTCCTCTGAATTTTGTATTCATCATAGAATCCTTAAAAAGTTTCAACAAAATATTAAGCAGCAAAAACTGTTTTAACACTGAAAATAAGAAGAACCATTAGGCTATTAATAACTGAGCACCAATCATATCTGAGCAATGGAAGGATTTATTAGAATGATTTCTGAAGGATCATGTGACACTGAAGACTGGAGTAATGATGCTGAAAATTCAGCTTTTCCATCACAGGAATAAATTACATTGTAAAATATATTCAAATAGATTTTTAAATAATAATTAACAATATTACTGTTAATAATATTAATAAAATGTTAATGTAATATTATTTCACAATATACAATGTAACAGTAAAATTATGTAATATTTCACTATATGGGCCATTCTACAGAACTGGTCCAAACTGCTGTCCCACAACCGAAGAACACATTTAAAAAGCATTTAAGTAGCCTCTTCGAATCTTAGATGTTTACTAAGATCCTTCTATTATCTATCGAAACCCACAATAATATGTAAAATATTAGTAAGCTTAATATATATAAAATCATCATTTATTGGGTATTTCAATTGGGAGGTGGCTGTCCTGAACCCTAACCCCTAAATTTCAACTTATGAAAATTATATTGAAATAATTTTTATATATTTTTCCCATTGTTGTTTTTAAAAGTATCTTTTTTATTCTTTTAAAAAGTTAAGTTAAAAAAAAATATTTATTTTATATTTTCTTTGGAAATTATGAAACTTTATGTAAAAAATGTGTCCCGCACTTTTTTGTCACTACCGAAACAATGTATAGTCCATTGGCTGAGACTGATTTTAACTACACCCCTAAATTTATGATCAGGAAATATTTATGTATCACTTTCTCTTATAGCGACATGATGAGTAGATAGGCCCCATCATTTTGAGGTAAATGTGTTTAAAAATCTGACAAATCTGTGTGTAACTTTAAGGAATGTCACTACCGAATGCCTTTTTTCTGCAATTAAGTACACTTTTTTGGGAGTTATTCCATAACATTTAGTTTTTATATGTGTTCCACTGTTCAGAACTGTGCTAGCTAACCATATGTTGATTAGAATCTCTGAGCTAGGATCAAAAGTATCTAAAATTGTCACTACCGAAACATTCACACTGTCACAAACCAAACATTTGGTGGAATTTGGTGGAAAGTGACATCTTTTTGTTTTGTTTTTTGGGAGTTATCCCATAGAATTGTCACTACCGAAACAGTCACGATCAAAACATGTCGTCATTGTTTCGGTAGTGACAAAAGGGAACACATTATCCTCATATTTGGGGGAAATAAACAAAATTTTAGTACAGTTATGCAGTTTTTTTTGTATTTTATTATGGTTTAGTATGCAAGTTACAAGGACAAATATTCCAAAACTTTCTGAAAATACAATATGATAATTAACTGCACAATTAGTACTAGAAATGTGTACCTTGCATTATACAATTTGCATACAGACAAAAAAAAATTTTCAAGAGGTTTCCAACTCTGACTTTGGACCAATTCTGAATGGCCCTTATATATACAGTGTATATACAGTAAAATAGATGAATAGTTGACCCAAAATTTAAATTCTGTCTTGTTTCTCTCTCTCTCTTTTACATTTTACATGAAAAATAAGAGTCAATTGAAGACAAATCAACTGAACAAAATATCTAAGAAACTAGTTTCACACTGAAAAATGCAGCAGTATAAAACCATCGCATGTCTTTGAATGCAACCTGCCCTGTGTTCAAGTAAATCTGTCTAGTTCCAGAATCGCAACACATAAATCCAGTCATTTTCCTTTCATTCAAACTCTGGCTCCGTGATGTAATGAGCTGCCCGACTGTGAGCGCTTGGTTATTTGATTGACAACATTCCTGTGCACCGGAGCGCTTGATCTTGCTTCATAAGGATGCGAGTTGGCAAGAGGCGAGACAACAATAACAAAGGGTTTTCAGATGCTGCTGACGCTGCGAGGTGACGTGCTGCGACTGCAGTAATACTGCAGCGACTCTTTCACGCGTGCTAGTCTGCAAATCATGCCTTTACATAAGGATAAGGCTAGAAACTGACTGATTCTCAGTGCATCAGCAGACGAATAGTACAATAATACCGCATATAGCATGACTTTAAAAACGTAGTCAGGCGCACGTGTACTGTGACTAGTGGCGATTTTGATTCATCCCACTGAATCGGATCTTTTGAATCGGTTCACTAAAACAATCCATTCAAATGCGTTCGGTACTTTCTGCAGGTAACATCATTACAAGTGGAAGTCTTTTGTGTATTATGAGTTATTGAATTATTCACTTTTTATTTGATCCTTTATTCAAAATTGGCATGCCTACAGATAGGCTCCAGAAAGAGTGTTATTTTCTCCACAAATAACAATGAAAGAGAGATTTCATTTATTCCTCCATTTTGTTCATGACTTTCATCAAGAGAAAACAACATATCCAAAATGAAAGAACTGAGTTTCAGTAACGTAATTTTGCGTAAATTTAATTGTGTATGGCCATTTATTTTAACATTTATAATTCTTCTTCTCTATTTCTCTTCATGCGAACAAGACTGACTGGTGTTTCATTCAGACTATGTATATATGTATTTAAACTGAAGTTTATAGTATTGAATTAATAAAGCTAATTATGCGCTAATTTGACTATATAAATTGTGCATATTTAAAAATTCAAGTAAAGAAATAAAAACAGAATAGTAAAGAACAGAAATTAAGGTATGCATATGTCAGATAAGCTCGGTGATTTTTTTTTATTTAAAAAAATGATTGCTTGATTGTTGACACATTTTGATGTTTATTTTTTAACAAAACCCTTTTAAAAAATCTTTACAATTTCTATATACATTTAATTTACATTTAAAATGAAATCATATTAAATTCATTATGAAGCACGCATTCAAAAATATTATACCTTCTAAGTCAGAGACCTATAAGACCTAGAGTAAACCGTCGAGAGCACTGAGTTGTGAATGCTGCACATTTGAACCGCATGTTGCCACCTTCCCCGCGTGACGTCAGCCCAGTTGTTTTGGTTCTCTCGGCCAATCGGAAGCGCGCTCGCACTTCTACAGAAGCCGAGGTGGGTCCAACCTCGCGCCAGCTTTTATCCTCCGTTACTCATCACAACGCCCCCTCGGTAGGGTGCATGCACGGGGCTCTGCTTTAAACGGCAGCTCTGAGATGGAAACCCCATTGCAGTTGCAGAACGATTTCTATCCAGAGCAGCAGCACTATAAGCAGCACCAGCAGCACTACTGCGGACGGGAGGAAGAGCGCTCCATCAGGCACTGCACCTGCAACAACTCCTCCACCTGCGAGGATGCCAGAAAAAGCCAGCCTTTGCACGGGACGCCGCTGGGAACTTTAAGGACACCGTCCGTCTCATCTTCAACCAGGCAAGGCGCTCAGTACAGCGAGTTCACGCCCTCTAGTCATGGTAGTTCATCCAGACACCATCATCATCCTCATCGCGATCACAACCGGCAGCAAATTCGGGGCAGTCCGGCCAGCAGCCACAGAGAGAGTAACTCTTACACCCAAATAGCCATGAGCAGCTGCAGATACAACGGCGGCGTGATGCGGCCGCTCAGCAACTTGAGCTCGTCCCGCAGAAACCTGCACGAGTTTGATTCGGAGTCCCAGCCGCTGCAGCCCGTCTCTGCGGCGGACGCGTCCGACACGCTCGCCTCCAAGCCGGAGAACAACTCCACCACCCTCATGCCTTACTCGGCGGGGGACGGGGGAGGCGGAGGCGGAGGCGGAGGGGGTGGATGTAGCGGCAAATCGGGCAAAAAGAAGAACCAGAACATTGGACAGAAGCTCGGACACAGGAGGGCCCTGTTTGAGAAAAGAAAGCGTCTGAGCGACTACGCGCTCATCTTTGGGATGTTTGGCATCGTGGTGATGGTCATTGAAACTGAACTCTCTTGGGGAGCCTACGGAAAGGTGCGTAACTTAATAGTCCCCAAATCCTGCAGGTCCCCCCATCTAGGTCAGAATTCATTAAGTCCGGTCTGCCAGCTGGCGAGCGAGGGAGAGAGGAAAAACTACAAGTTTGGAAAGTGCGCGGCGTGGATGGATAAAAGAAGATCTGTGGCAAGGTCACGTTTACTGGAAGACGCTTTGCTTCGTCGGTTTTCGTTACGGAATCGTTTAGCTGCGTAAAATTGTTCCAATATTACAAAAAATCTTTTAGAGCTTTAAAATTCGTGTTCTTTTATGAACGACATATTTAAGCAGTATCGCTCAAACAGGAGTGCTGTCCTTTGTGCTGTGATTTGGCCGCATTTAAACAGCTCAATAAACACATAATTAATATTATTAATGAATGCAAAAATGACACAACTCCGCTTCTGTTCGTGAAAGAAAACACTGGAATGACGCAAACAAACAGTGAAACTTCCTAATGTTAGCAGCACTATTGGGAAGCTCGACCAATCAAATTACCGGAACTAACTGTTATACGTTAATCAAGTTGAAAGAGACTCAAACTTGAGTTAATAATTATTACTTAACTTTTGCTGGAATAATTACTTTTAGTGTCAATTGTGCACTCTTCTTCTTTGACTTTCTGTAGAACATTACTGGAAAAATAAGTCATAATTGTGTTATGTATAAATGCATTTTTATTACTATAAGTACTTTAAAATAAATAAATAATTGCAGTAATATAATTGATGCCTCTATCTATAAAAGTCCCATAGAGGATATGCATTACTGCGATTCAATTTGCCACAGGGATTCCAAATGACAGCATTCATATTTTCTCAAAATAATGGTTAAATCATGTTAGATGGTTGATCTGTGAACAGAAAAAGCTATTTATCTGCATCAGAATGACTTTAATAGGGCAATCCCCAAACACCAGGAAAATCAATCATAGTGTGTTTTAAAAATGACATATTATTGTTTTGTCAATATGTTGAAAATGAAGGAAAATATGTCGCCACATGGAAGGTTAAAGTCAAATTTCAGTTAAATCATGTAATGGTCTCAGATGTGCTTGCATTAGTGCTTAGGTTTTGGTATTTTCAGGAAGGCGTAACTTAATCCAATCCCTCACAAAAGTCTACAAAGTCTTGGAATCATTCATATAAAACATAGTAATGTGTTGCAGTAATATTTTTACAGGTTTAATCAAAATGCAATTGTAGTGTGTTTACACCAACTAATCCAAATGAGTTGAATTTGTCCTTTTCTTCTCTTTTTTTTTTCAGGAGTCACTGTATTCTTTAGCCCTAAAATGCCTGATAAGCCTTTCTACAATAATTCTTCTTGGGTTGATTATCATATATCATGCCAGGGAAATCCAGGTAACTCTTTTTAAAAAATAAGTAAGAGCTGTTTACTGTGTTTTCACTTCACTGTCATGTTAATTTTGGTGCTTTTTCGGTTCTGCAGTTTTTAACACATTCTCTCCTCCAGACTAATGCTCAACACATTGCTCTTGAAATGATACCCATTACCATAGAATTACAATCTGATTATCTTCAATAGTACTGCATCCTCTCCATTTCTCACCGGCTTAATCGAATCATGCCATGAAATCCTGTCAGTGACCTTGTTTAACAGTAGCCGTTCACAGTTTATCAGCTAGTTGGATAGACAAGGCCAGGTTGAATGGACATTTTTCCTAATAGAGTACTTATTAATCTTCATAAAATCATTACAGAAATCTACTAGAGCATAACCTGAGATTCGTAGTCTATTAACTGTGTTGACTATGGACTTGCACTTGGGCTTTCTCTACAGAAATGTAGTTTATAGATTATGTATGGAGGCTTTCCGTACAATGTCTCCATATTGGTATTAGTAAGTGTCTAAATCTGCACTTAAGGCAGTTTTTGCCCATATTTGTTGAGAGAAAGAACTTGACTTGGTTGTAGTACTTTGAAAGCACTCAGTCCTGTGACCTTGCATCAGTGGATTGTTGTATTACTGGTGAATTTTATACATTTCAGCATCCATATTTCCATTGTAATGCATTTCTTTGCATTAAGTAATGCATTAACAAAAAAAGATGAAGACTTTTAGCTGGTGTTGGTGAGGATGAAATCCTGTAAATTTCTGAAAGGTCTTCAATGATGTTTCTTAAAATACTCTGCAGCCAGAGAAATGTTGCATCAAAGATTTATTTGATTTATTCCACTTCTTTCGTTTTCCTTCTTTCATATTCATTCTTTCAGAGTTCCCATGGTCATGGGAAACCAGCACATTTCAGTGAACTGTGATATGCAGGCCTTATTAAATGAATGAGCAAATTAACTAATAGAAAATGAAGTAATACAATTGAATAGTAATTCATATAACATAAATAATTTTTTATGTGCATTATGTATACAATGATTTTATAAAGTCTAATCCAGTTGTCAAAAAGTGTGGGAACCCTGTAGAAATTATTTATTAATTTATTATTTTTTCATTTAACTTGCAAATAGACACAAATATCTCATTCAAGTTGAATCAGACAGGCTTATTATGAAGTGAAACCATGTGTGGCTTGTCCAATAGGGAAAAATCACTGTTAATTTCTTGTGGGGTGGACAGATTAGTCCAAAGGATAAGAAATATATCGTGATATCAATTTTGGCCATATTGTCCAGCCCTAGTGTAGCCTATATACAGGAAAATTGTGCATCAAGACACATATCACACACATCATAAGACTTGACAGAAGTCACATAGACTACTTTTGCTGTGCTTTATTGGCTCTTTTCACGTCATCCATTCCCATTTACTTTAATTGGAAAAGAGCAGCATTAACCTTCTTCAAAATATCTTCTTGTGTGTTCCACAGAGTGAATTATTCTTGTAAAAGATCGCGTTGCGGTAAAGTCAAAGCAATAGTGAGTCATTTGCCATAATGTCGTTGACAATGACTAAAGCTGCAGAACGCTGCATGAATTATGAATCATTCTTAAATCTGACTTGTGAAGTTGCTCAATCAGGTGGTTTCTGCATCGTGATCTAGTATGACTCCAGGGTTTTTGATGCACTGGCAGACAAAACAAGAAGACAAAAAAAACTGACCTTCAACGGGGATGGAAGAAACGTTGAATTTAGGTACTCAGCCTTGCCAAGACCGCAGGTGATGAACAGCCGTCCAACTGAGATGTCAAAGAGCCATGTTGAGATTTCCTCAGTGTGGCCATTGAGGTGAAGGCAACTAGGTGTTGCTGCCATAGCAGAGGAATGAGAAACCGTGTAATCTGATGACAACAAAACCAGACAATCTACCTTAGATATAAAACATTCTGGTGGCCGATGACCTCTGTTGCACTGATGAAAAAGAAGGAGGGTATATAAAGTGGACCCTTTCAACTCACTATAGGCTCTTGTATCTCGGTGTTAAGAAAGAAAAAGTCCACAGAAATGAAAATTCTGTCATTATTTACTATCATTCTTAAGAGCTGGAGAAATGCAGCATCAAAGATTTATTGATTTATGCCACTTCTATCTCTTTCTTTCATATTCATTCTTTCAGGGCTCTAATGGTCAGAACATTTCAATTTTAAAATTGTGATTTGCAGTCCTGGGAAAATAATAAAATTGTTCAAATCAATACAGTTAATTAAAATTAAAATTAATTAAACAATAAATAAAAAATGTAAAATCGGTTCTACTTTATATTAAGTGGCCTTAACTACAATGTACTGTACAAAAAGTACAATGTACAATTGTGTTCATATTGTATTGTGAAATACTTTTGCTGCTATTGAAGTGGGATACGGGTAAGGTTAGGGACAGGTTTGGTCGTATGGGTAGGTTTAAGGGTGGGTTAAGGTGTAAGGGATGGGTCAACAGTGCAATTATAAATGTAATTACAGAAAATAATTACTGATGCAATTACATGCAGATATTTAAAAAAATATAAGTACTATGCAAAACATGTATGTACACAATAAGTGCATTATATCAAATTATTAATTTAAATAGAAGTACATAGTAGTTAAGGCCACTTAATATAAAGTGGGACTAAAAAAATTAATAAAAATCACCTTTACGCACTTATCTATACAATGATTATGTTCTGTTTCTTTCCATTATTATTATTATTATTATTTTTGTAAAACACAAAAGGAGATGTTTGATTGAATGTTCAAGCTGCTCTTTTCCATACAATGAATTCAGATAATGATTTACAGAGCCAGCTTGTGCCAAACTCCACAAAAGTCTCCTCAAAAAGTAATACATGGCGCCTACAACACCAAGCCCATGAGTTCAGTTCCCAGGAAATGCATGCACAGATAATACTTATATCTTGAATGCAAAGTATGGATTTGAAACAACATCAATTTTGACAAAAGTGTCGTTTTTGGGTGTACTCTTCCTTTAATACAATAATGCTTCTCCTCAGCGTACAAATAAGCGTGCATTGTTGTTTTCCAGATGTTTTTTTAATTCAATCAGATTGCAACATAAAATTGTGACAGTACATGGAAACATACATGGGTGTGTTTGTACTGCATGTACATGAAACAACATCACTGTTTTGTAATATGCATGCAAATCCACCCCCCCCAAAAAAAGCCATTAAGAGCCCTGGCTCTGCAACCATAAATGCCTGAGCAGTTTTATTACTTTTCACACTGTTGAATTATAACGGCGTGTATTCATGAGCCAGTTGCGCTCTCTGTAATATTTAGGGCCCACAAGTCTCTGAGGGACATCAATCATGGGAATGCTTTACCAGAGAAATGTGTCTCTCTGAAGGGACCAGACGGGGGCTCTACGCATTACAAATACATGCACATCATCGCCATATTGATATGAAATATAGGTATTTCATTTTTTTTTTTACAATGACCTTCATTTGTATCAGCAGTTTATCAATGAAATATGATGGTTAGCTGCAGTTGAACCACAAATCACCTGTATTTCGGGATGTCTAACACATGTATAGGGCAGATTCAGGTGATGAGTGCACGTGAGCAGCGCTGATGCACTATAGAGGATGTGCACTGCCTTTTCCTGTAACAGCTAACTCTACCTGAGACGACTGCCGAGTGTCACGTATCCATCCTTCACCACTGACCCTTGAGTTTTCACTGAGCTGGATTACAGTATAGAGATTATAAGATTAAAGTAAAAGATGTTCATTTAAATAAAGTTAATCTGAGATGTCTTCTGGCTTTAAATGTAATTGAATATTGAATTAAACTTAATCTAATTGTTTAAAGGGGTCATATGATGCGATTTCAATTTTTCCTTGGAGTATCTATATTGTAATTTAGCTCAGAGAAAATTCTAAGGGGTTGTAATTTTAGACAGAACGTTATTTAATTTATTTTTAAAAATCAGTAATCTTAAATATTTGAAATATATTAAACTAATTGTCATTTGAAGAAATTTAGTGCACGAAAAAATGCAAATAAATAAATAAAATCCCTCCACTCTTGCCTGATTTTTTCTGAAACATGTTACTACTATTCTTTGCAATGTTTTAGTAGACGGTGTAGTTAATTTAAAATTTAAATATAATAATTCAAATTATTATATAATATATATTGTTACAGCATCTACTGTAATTTAGCTCTTAGAAAATTCTGAGGTGTTATAATGTTAGGCAAAATATAAAAGTAATTTTATATAATTTCAAATATCTTTAAATAATTGTAATTTGAAGAAATTTAGTGTGCAAAAAATAAATAAATAAAATTGTGGCTTCGGTTTACCGAAACATTGTTCTCTGTAATGTTTTATTGTTAGGAATAGGATCAACAACAATAATTGAATTTACTTTCTAGAGCATCTACACTGTAATTTATTCCATAAAAAATTCAAAGGTATTATAATTTCAGACAGAACATTATAAAAATAATTTTCAATTTCGACGTTTTTTCAATTTCAACTTCACTCTTCCTTGGTTTAACAAAATATTTTATTACTACTCTGCGTAATGTTTTAGTAGAAGGAATAAGCTCTACAATTTCTTAATATTTAATTTAATTTTTAATGTAATTTAATTAAATTTTAAATTGCTAGAGAGGAGACTTGAAGTGGTAGGGCTGAACGGTTCTGGAAAATAATCTAATTGCGATTTTTTTTACCAATATTGCGATTGCGATTTAATATGCAATTATTTTTTAAAGCTCTTTATGAGCTATAAATCATTGTATAGTATGACCAACACACTATTAGATAGATTAAACATAAATGTTCTTTTCTGTAGGCCAGGCCTATATGTTACAAAGTGGTCAGTTTTTCTTTGAGATAAGTTACAGTATAGATGTTTTAAAATTAAACTAAGCAATTTTATGGCTTGAATTAATTTCATATGAAATGGTGGCTTTTATGTTTTACTGTTTTATTTTGCGTATGTTTAATTAAAACCGCTAAAGAAAAGAGGTTACAGTTAACTTAATAATACAACAGCTGTCATCCTTTTCTGGCAGCGTTCAATTACACAAATGCAAACTGAAAGCATGCGGGTCCTCCTTCAAAGAAACTTGAAAGCTGAAAGCAACTTACAACTGAGGATTTACTTAGCAAAGTGGCCTCTTAGGACCCACTTTGATA